CAAAAGTAATTAAACTGGGTGATTTATGAATAAAATAATAATGAAATAATACTAATAATAAAGGAGTTGAGGGTGTAGTAGCAACTTTTTGCAGTGAATAAGGGCCCTATCATACACCTGGCGCAATGTGCGACACAATTGTGTTTGCCAGTTTCAGCTCGGCGCAAGAGTCGTTTTGACGTTTTGCGCTACGCTGTTTAAATAGCAAATGCAATTGCGCTCATATCTGCACCCATAGGCGTTCTGGTCTAAAAAAGCAGGAGTGTTGAGACGCATTGCTGGGGCGATGCTATTTTGAGAAACTATAATAGATTGAAAAAGAATTAAAATACTAAGCATATATATAGGATATAATAAGGATATATATAGGATATAAATATAAAGGATTAAAATATTACAAAACATATTAGACTATTTTCTAGCCTATACAAAAATATAAAAACTATACTTTCATGCCTTCTTCATCTCGGGGGGCTTTTTCAGTTCATTCATAACAACTTGCTTATGTATAATGTTATTATTATTAGCAGTGCTATTTATTATCTGCATATTTATATTTATTTTATTAAAACAAGCTCAGATTTGCCCACCTATCAGGTTTCAAACCATATGGGGCAGCATGTGTATTTAGATATAACTCAGGTTTTTGAGCACACTTCATTATTATTGTGCATTTATTTGTTTGCTGGAATTTGAACTGAATTTAGAAATAGTTTTGAAACAAATATTTGCGCTTAACAAAGTAAATTAATTATCTATAGGCAAACAGATGTCTGTGCGTACAAGAAGTTTCTCTATCCATGAGCGTGAAAGTGAAAGTAAAGAATGAGGAGGCTCATCTCTCATTCATGCTGCAGATGCTCTGTTTAACTGTTTTCTTGTTAGCGAAATGCTCAGTTTTTCCACTTACAAACTCCGTTATGTAAATAGCAAATGTGCTTATGGTGCGACTGTCAAAACAACTTGTCTGTCAAAACAACTTCACATTAACAAGACAGCAAAACTTTTCATAAATCTGTCATCAAACCCCAGGGATCCAGCATCCCCTGGCAAAAATGATGTACGCGAGTAAAAAAAAATAGCATTTAACAAATTGTTTTAGTACAATCCTATTTCATGATTAAAAATCTTAAATGTTAAACATTAGCATTCAAATACAAAACTATCAGTGCTTCCCACTAGTTTGAAACATACTTGCGGTGGTAGCTGGATTGAAACACACCATTTACCCACGTCACATAAATAGTTACCTATATGCGACAAACAAAACAAAAATTACATTTTTAACAATAATTTTATTTATTATGACGCTGTTTCTTTTCAATGGGTAAAGTGAAAAAAAGACTTGAAATAAAAAAATAAATAAATCCACAATTTCTCTATTTTTCTCTATTACTCAATTCAGGAGTCATGTGCACCTACTGACAGGTAAAATCTCTTCTCTCTTTCAAGTTCAAAGCAAACTTGAATTCCACAGCATTTTATATATGTAAATGAAATACCCCATGTAATATAGTCTAATAGAACTGTAATATTCTAGCTGCAAAAAATCAGACGAGACAGAAATTGCAGCATTCAAAAATCTCTTTACTTCTCTTACTACTCGCCTCACTTCCGTTTTCCAAATTTTACATAAAAGTTAGTATCAGTTACAAATTGAAACACAATCACCTTAAGTCATTTAACCAACTTTAACTCTCTAGTTTACAACACTGTCTTAACACCAGAGATACAGATTTGAACAGTTCTGTAGTATAAGGAACTTAAGCAGTCAAGCTAACGCTGTTTGGTAACTTAAGCAGCACAAACTCAGTACAACAACACCCCAAATCTAAGTAACAGTCCATTAACCAGCAAAGTTTTTGAACCGTACGATTAGGTCTGTGAGTCTGAGTGGTTGTACTGTGATCAGTGTTGCCAACAGGAGTTGCTTTTGTGCATGGATATGCAGTGAGATTGGAAACATTCCAGGTTTTCCCATTACTAAGCACATATATACCCACCCCCAGTTTTTTGTTAACTGTGAGGGGATCAGTGTATGTCTTGTGTCCCTTTGGAACAAGCAGAAGGTTTCGAACTCTCACTTTATCTCCCTCCTGAAAGCGAGGAATTTGTGCACCACGCTTAGCATCAGTGTAGAGTTTCATTTCGTCTTGCATCCTTGTGATTTTTGACACACCGATACATCATTGTATGCAGAAGGAGATGGCAGAATAGAGAACCTCGTTTGCATTTGCCAGCCAAAAATAGCTGAAATGGTGAGGTGCCAGTAGCAGCGGGAGGAGTAGCTCGGTACACTTTTAGAAAATCAGTCACAACAGTTTTCCAAGGTTGATAGGGGTGTAACGATACACTCAGCTCACGAAACGAGGTGTAACACGATATAATGTTCACGATTCGATATGTATCACGATATTTGGAATAAAAATTGAAAAATAAACTGAAATGCAAATTTTACCAAGTAAACAATTTTTTATGTATTTCTTTTGTTTAAACTTGTTAAACTGAACCTTCTTTAAGAAAATAATAAACAGGCCTGTCTCTGTAAGTGTGTTAAATTAATTAATAAGTGTGTTAAATTAATGCCTAAATGGGGACAGCGCCCTCTAGAGTGTGCGTGATGTAATAAGCAGGTGGAGTAGAGACCGCCCACAGCAGAGTTAACGAAGCATTGCTGTGGGTAAGTTGCGCGTTTCTCCCGGGTGGAAAATGACCATTAATAAGTGTTTAAAACACATAAATATTAGCTTTAATGTGACTTAATGTTTCAATGAATATGTTGGGACACTGTTAGTTGTGTTTGGCGTCGAGTGTGCTGCTCAATCTTGAGTTTATAACGTGTTTATATAAGGAGGCCTGATTGAAACCAATTTGTCTTGTGTTTCATATAGAGGTGGTCATTTTCTTTGTGATCCAGCAACTATTTACACGCGCTGTCTGTCTCCATTGTACAGGTATGTGTTGAATGTTATAAATTAATTGTTTGTAATTCTTTTTCTTCTTACTCAAAACAAGTTACTAAAAGTCTCCACTAGGTGGGGAAGTTTCCTTACTTTTGGAGTTGAATTGTATTGCTCTGTTACACTCAGTGATTGTACATTGAGAATTGTGATTCATTAATTTGTCATGTAAAATTCAAAGTGTGTTATGTTTTTCATATTCTGACTTAAAATGTACACTGTACAATCACAAAGTTAAAAAGAATTCATTGGCATATAAAAATATATATATAAAACTGTTTTAAATAAAACAGGGCAGAGTTAACGAAGCATTGCTGTGGAGGTGGTCATTTTCTTTGTGAACCAGCAACTATTTACACGCGCTGTCTGTCTCCATTGTACAGTGTACAGTAAGAAGACAGCCCAAGCAAGACAGTCACATTGGTGCCGTGAAGTTGTGATGCCGCTGTGTTGCTATGGGGTGTCTTCAAGCAAGCTGATCACCGCTTCTAAAGGACTGGAAGCATCTGACATTAATTGAGCAGTTCGTCATCTACATACAGTGCTTTGCGATTAAAGGATCTCATAGACTTTTCACACTACAGGACTTTCTCACACTGCTTTTTGTAATCAAGTTGATTTATGGACAATTGGTGAATCACACTGGTCAAAATGAGTAACATCAATAGATACTTAGCTGAGAAAAATACTTCTGTTCCGGTGGGTAGAGGCAGAGGGGTTTTAGGCCTCCCAATTTCATTTCCAATGGAAAGCCCCAGTGCTGATAATAATAATAATAGACCTGGTTATACTAATGGGGTGCACTCCACACAAGAGCGCAATGCAGCTGACGTGCAGTTTAATGCCAGTCATAGATTTGCAGAGGCTAGCACCTCAACACCTCATGCTGCACCTGATATGCTAGGGCAGATGACTTCAATTGTTAATCAGATTGGCCAACAATTGGCAGACAATGTCATGTCTCATCTTAGCTCCTATAGTTTAGACACTGTCATGCCTATTAGACATAAATCTGATGATAATAAATTAGATAGCCCTTTGTCGATTTAATGTTCCAAAGTGTGGAACGGGATAATACCTTTGCAGATTATGATCAATATGTGAGGAAATTGATAGATAATCTCAAAGAAGCCATGTTGGTTGCTCAGGTGAACAACTCTGCGAGTCAGCTACGGCAGACCGAGCACTACAACAAAAAAGTCAAAGGCAGAGACATCGAGGAAGGTGATTATGTGCTACTCGCCAACAAAGGAGAACGTGGTCGACGCAAGCTAGCCGACAGGTGGGATTCAACACTGCACGTTGTGTTATCTGTAGACCCGAGATGTCATACTTACCGGATTAAGAATACTCGAACTAATCAGGAGAAAGTTGTTCACAGAAATTTGATTTTACAAAGCAACTTCCTACCCATTGAAGAGCCAAACTCTGAGCAATCTCATATTGATCATGAAACTGATGAGTCTGAAAGTGATGCTACTTTTGTTGAATCAGAGGATACTGATGATGGAAATGATGGACCAGCTCATTCCCCAGTTTGCTCATTGAGTTCTTCATCTGATGAAAGAATCAGGGCTGGCAGATAGGTAAAACCAATAAATAGACTTATCCAAATTATGTCGCAGAAAACCCATATCCATATTGATAATATTTGGTAATGAACTTCCCAAAACTAAAAAAACTATTCATTTATGTATTATATGCCTACCGGGCATAGGAACCTTATTTCGACATTTGTTTAAGTGGGACCGCAATTAGTGTTGCACGCTTTGCTCTCGGAGAGTGCGGAAGAGTTGCATCAGCCTCAGTCGGAGTCCAGCCGCTGACGGGGAAAGACCTGCAAAAGTTTCTCCTGCACTTGTGTTCGTATTGGTATGTTTAATATAGTCTGTTCGATTGAAGTTCATATAATGTTGCATAAAATATGTTTAGGAACGTTTTTTATTCAGTCAGATTATAATATTGAGAAGATTCTGAGATTTATGTTAGTTTAATATAGTGCACAGTGTGTGTGAAAGGAGAGGAAAGTGTAGAGAGAAATTCTGAGTGAGTGTCCCACATGTGTTTCAGGTATGTTTGATGTTGATGAAGTCAAATTGTAAAATTGTTGTGTGTGAATTTTTTATGATGTTTTATCATTCTAATTGTTCTCAAAAATTAATAATTGACTATCTGAATCTAAATTGTGCTTTTATGTAATGGTATATTGCATGGTGAATAAGCCTAATTGTTTGAGAACATATATATGCTGTTTTTTTGAAAATATAAATTTGATTTAGCACTTTGAGTACAATTGTAAAGAGCTACACCACTTATTTTCACTTTATTTTTATTTCATTTAAACAAATATATGTTTTTCATGAGTATTATTTTACAGTGTTATAAAGTCAGCCTCAGTCGGAGTCCAGCCGCTGACGGGGAAAGACGTGCAAAAGTTTCTCCTGCACATGTGTTCGTATTGTGTGTGTGAAAGGAGAGGAAAGCGTGGAGAGAGTTTCTGATTGAGTGTCCCACATGTGTTTCAGGGACCAATAAATAGATGACGCAAAGCTGTCCTGCTGTTTCCGGTGTGATTATTGGTTATGTACAGATTGGGATCTGCTATACACATGTCTGAATAAATGCTTGCGATCTATTGTTCCTGTCCAGCTCAATGCCATTGATATCTGTATTGAAGACCCCGAGAAAATCCAGATCCCCGAAGTTTACCAAGATCTCTCAGAAACATTTAACAAGCAAAAAGCCACCAAACTCCCTCCTCACCATGAGTATGATTGTGCCATTGAATTGTTACTTGGTACAACGCCCCCTCGTGGGAGAATCTTTCCTCTTTCTCAGACAGAAACTGAAACCATGACCGCATACATGAAGGAGGAATTGGAAAAGGGATTCATCCACCCGTCGACGTCACTCGCATCAGCTGGCTTTTTCTTCATAGGGAAGAAAGATGGAAGCTTATGCCATTGCATCGACTACAAAGGTTTGAATGAGATCACAATTAAATACCATTTCCCCCTGCCTTTACTTTCAGCAGCCCTTGAACAATTACGCTCAGCCTGGTATTTCACCAAGCTTGATCTTCGCAGTGCTTACAACCTCATCCGAATAAGGCAAGGGGATGAATGGAAGACCGGCTTCTTTACTGTAAATAGCCACTTTGAATATTTGGTTATGCCCTTCGGCCAAGCAAACAGTCTTTCCGTCTTCCAGGCTTTCATTAACGAAGTATTTAGAGACATGCTGAATCAGTGGGTCATTGTGTACATTGACGATATTCTCATTTATTCCAATTCCTTAGAGGAGCATACCAACCATATCAGAGCGGTTCTGAAAAGGCTCATCGAAAACCAACTATACGCCAAGTTTTCCAAGTGTGAATTTCATCAAACCTGCATCTCATTCCGGGTTTACATCTTCAGTGCAGAGGGTGTGGCTATGGACGAGAAAAAGGTAGATACAGTCATTAACTGGCCTAAACCCGACTAAGTTGGAGTGATGATGCAACTTCAACCAAGGCATTCAACCACTTCAAAGCTTGCTTCTTCTCTGTACCGATCCTCTGCCGCCCTGATCCTAATTTGCCGTTTAACCTGGAAATTGGCGCATCCAACACTGGCATTTGAGCCGTACTTTCCCAGAAACCAGAGAACTCAAACAAGCTCCACCCATGCGCCTTCTTCTCACACAAGCTCAATTCGGCTGAAAGAAATTATGATGTGGGCAACCGTGAGCTTTTAGCCATGAAAGCAGCTATGGAGGAGTGGAGGCACTGGTTAGAAGGAACCAAACATCCATTCACTGTAATCACAGACCACAAGTACCTCGAGTATATCCGCTAAGCTAAGAGATTGAACCCCAGGCGGGCAAGATGGGCGCTGTTCTTCACCCGTTTTGACTTTTCAGTCACATATATCCCCGGTTCCAAGAATGTCAAAGCTGATGCTCTTTCCCGTCTCTCCGATGATGAGATACTGAATGTTGAAGAACAACCCGTCATAGAGGAGTCCATCACCCTGGCCCCCATCAGATGGGATATCGATACAGAGATCTCACATGCCTCGTCTCAAAACCCCACACCTCCGGCATGCCCTGCAAACAAGATCTTTGTTCCCCCGTCTCTAGGAGAAAAATTGATAACGCTCTGGTTACTAAAGTAACCCTCGGGGAACAGAAATGCTATTGGTGGATTTATTCATTAATCCACGAATAGGGATTTCGTTTCAGAAAGTCAATCGTCTAAAAGAGTAAACAACAGGGCAAAGACATGCCAATGAACTGTCAGCGTAAGCTTGCGCACGTGTGCCATTTTGCCAATTAGCTCCGCATATAAACACAGGGGAAGCAAGGAAACGCCATCCTTTTAAGCTGAACAGACTGACACTCACAGGTAAGGAACAGTCATTATGGTGATGCTAAATAGCATTTCCGTTCCCCTCCTCGGGGTACGAGGGTTATTTTAGTAACGAGAGCATTCCCCTTCGGATGGGGAACTTCAAAGCTATTAGTGGATTTATTCATTAATCTACGAATGGGGAAATATCTGGAAAACACCATAATGACTGCACCTTACCTTCGCCTCCGATGAGAGGATAACCAGGCATAGCGTGAACGCACCTGCATCAAAGAGAGGCGCGGCCTTCCAACGTGATCTCTGGCCCTTACTTATCCCACTTCAAAAGAAGTTTTACGGATTTAGATATATTTTTTGGGAGTCGCAAGCGTCTAGAAAATTCTAAAAAAAATCCGACAGTATTTTTGGAAAAGCATGCAGTCTAGATAGGGAGGATACTGCGGAGGCCACCTGCTACCCAATGGGGAGATATAATGGCAAAAATATATGGTCTAGCCCTGAGAAGGGGGAGTACGCATATAATGAGATGCTTAGCGGAGTGGGAAGACACAGGTCCGCCCATGAGGGGGTCTGCACCATGGCTGAATAAGCATATGGGATCGCCTGGTAGGGATCACGCATAGCAGGCACCTACACCCAAAACGCGGGCTGACCAGCAGGCAGACCTACAACGTAGTGAACCAGCAAGTGACTCCTCTGCTGAGTCAGTGCTGGGGACCTCGGAGGAATCTGCAGGGCTCACCTAATGGTGTACTTTACTGACAGATGAAAAAGCGCACGTATCTCCGTGTTAGGGAGAATGGCACAGCAATCGTGTTTCAACACCTTAACCGAGTTGTTTCCTCAATCACCAACGGTTACCTAATACCCTTGAGGAAACCGGCTCCACTCGCAGATTGTAAAACCTTGCAAATGTATTAGGTGTCGCCCACCCCGCAGCTCTACAGATGTCTGTTAGAGGGGCACCGCGTGCACGCGCCCAAGAGGATGCAACGCTCCGAGTGGAGTGTGCACACACTCTCAGGGGACACGGCTCGCCCTGGCTCTGATAAGCGAGGGAGATGGCACCACTATCCAGTGGGCCAACCTCTGTTTCGATACGGCACTTCCCTGCTGCCGACCGCCATAACAGATGAAGAGCTGCTCAGATGATCTAAAGCTCTGAGAGCGGTCGAGATAAATGTGGAAAGTGCGAACTGGACAACGTTAGAAAAGGACTGGGTCTGCCTCCTCCGGCCTCCTTGGGCTTATATCCCGGGTGGGGTCTCAGGAACGGGTGAGTAAGCCAGCCCGAATTACAGGCACGAGTCACTTACCGAAAAATGCCTCCAGGTCCCCGACCCTCTTAATCGATATCAACACGACCAGCAGAGCTGTCTTCAGGGACAGAAATCTTAAAGATACTGAGTCGAGGATCGAAGGGATCTGACGCAGGCTCGTGAGAATGAGGGCAAGATCCTAAGAGGGCATGAGAGGGGGGCGGGTGGATTAATTCACCTAGTGCCCCTGAGGAACCGGATGATGAGTTTATGCCTTCTTATGGGGCTGCCAGCCACCGCGTCATGAGAGCGGAGATAACAGCCACGTAACCTTGAGTGTGGAGGGCGACAGCCTGCTCTCCAACTTCTCTTGGAGTAAAGAAAGCACAACGCTGATCTGGCAAATTTCGGGGGTCTTCTCTGGGAGAGACGCACCATTCAGTGAATAGACTCCACTTCAAGGACAAGGCGCGCTCAGGGAGGGGGCACTAGCCCGAGTGACGGTATTAACCACTGCAATCGGTGGGTTACCTAAGTCTTCCTCGCATCTAAGGACCACCCGTGGAGGTTCCAAAGATCGGGGTGAGGGTGTCAGATGGTGCCCTGTCAATGAGAGAGTAGGTGCTCTCTCAAAGGGATCTGCCAGGGAGGGCCATCGCGAGGGGGGAGAGCTCTGACATCCAAGTCCGGTTGGGCCAGAGGGGCGCAACAAGCAACCTGTTCCTCGTCCTCCCTGACCTTGCACAGTAACTGTGCGAGCAGGCTCACTGGGGGAAACGCATGTTTGCGCATGCCCCGAGGCCAGCTGTGAGCCAGTTCATCTGTGCCAAGAGAGCCCTCGGTCAGGGAAAAGAACAACTGGCAATGAGCATTATTGGGGGAAGCAACAGATTGATCTGGGCTTCCCCAAATCGCGCCCATATCAGCTGAACACACTCAGGGTGGAGTCTTCATTCTCCGAGACGTAAAGGCTGCGAGCGCATCGGCTGCATGGTTGAGCTTGCCTGGAATCTGAATGGCACGCAGCGATTTCAGCCGCGGATGACTCCAGAGGAGCAGAGTGCTGTCCGTCCTGACCAGCAAGTGTTTCTGCTCCAGCACCGGAAAAAACGGTGGAAGTGAGGAACACAGCCAACAGCTCCAGGCGATATGCCAATGCAACTGGATTCCTTTCCACAGGCCCGCTGCTGCATGCCCACAATGCACAGCCCCCCAGCCCATGCTGAAAGCATCTGTTGAAACAACAACATGACTGGACACCTGTCCTAGAGGCACTCCGGCCTGTAAGAACGAGGGGTCATTCCAAGGGCTGAGGGCGTGACGACACAGTGCAGTAACAGTGACTCGGTGTGCACGCGCATGTCATGTGCGTCTGGGGGCTCGATCGTGAAGCCAGTGCTGGAGTGGTCTCATATGGAGTAATCCGAGCAGCGAGAAGCGGCTGCGGATGCCATTTGCCCCAGGACCCTCTGAAATAATTTCAGTGGGACCACTATTTTACTGTCGATCCGTCTCAGACAGTACAGCTGAGACAGCTGAGCGCAGTCTCAGGAGAGGCGCGCTGCCATGGCTCCAGCCCAAGAAAACAGATCATTTACACGAGGGCGAGTTTGCTCTTTTCTCGGTTGACCTGAAACCCCAATAGGTGGAGGTGCCGGAGCACCTTGTCTCTGTGCATAATCATTTGCTCCCGAGAGTGGACTAAAATCAGCCAGTCAAGATAATTGAGTTTGCAGATACCCGCAAGTTGAAGGGGCACAAGGGCACCCTCCACAAGCTTGGTGAAAGCCCACGGAGACAGAGAGAGCCCAAAGGGGAGGACTTTGTATTGCCAGGCTTGACCTTTGAACACAAACCCCAAAAACTGACGGTAGCGGTACGGAAGTATAGAGACATGGAAGTATGCGTCCTTCAGGTCTATTGCTGCAAACCAATCCTCAGGA